CTGATTGGTTCAGAGGCAGTAAGCTCAGCCCTGATGAAGTAATGGGATATGTGATGAGAAAATTAAATGTTTAAACTTGAGTTAAGCAATCTTGAACAAAAGTGCTTTGGAGTATTTGTAAGAGTACATTCTGCCAGATATAATTGTAGTTTTCTTAGGAATTTAATGTATAATGAGAATTCAGCAAAACATGAAATTGATAAATCCCACTGTCTTACATAACTTGATTTGAAAAAGTCCACTCAGAAATGGAGTGGCTAAAATATATTTGGCCTTGAATATGCTAGGAAGGATAATATGACTATTAATAGGCCAGATTATTTTCAATTAAAAGAATAAGCTAATCTTCATGAAAATGTAGTCCTGAGCATAGATTTTAAATGTTATAAGAGAAAAAAACACAGGTCATAAACGTTAGGAGAGAGAACATTGTTGCCTAAGGGTTGTGTTAGTATATGCTCACCCCAACACCCACCCAGTCAAGACAGTGAACCAGCCTCTTTTAACAAGTGAAACAACTTGGGAAAATGTTTTGAATAACTCTATACATGTTAATCAAGAAAATATTCAAAACTTGTCTACTCAGTAGACATTAGTACACCCCTAAAAAGCAGTTCTTAAAGATGGCAAGTTGAAAATTTTAGAAATACATTATTCATAAAACATAATTAAGAGGATGACAGAAATGTAATAGATTGGCCCATAAAGACAAAGCAGATCACTCAGCAACCAGCTACCAAATAGCAATAATAGTTAAGGGATATACCAAGTACACACATGAATGAAGAGTAAGTGAGGACACAAATAGGGAGTTTATAGCACAAGGCTGTTTTGTACCTGGGCTTTCTGTACCTCAAAAAAATGTATTTATTTAAAGCTAAGTTTTGTGTTGTCATCACAGGTATTAGTGCATGTAACTGCATGGGTATAGTAAAAGCAAAATTCAGAATGCTTTATATTAATAGTGACACAGCACCATTCTTAAGCTAAGTACTAATTACACTAACATAGTCCAAAGTTGTGACTTTGCTAACAATTTATGACTGCTGAATAATAGAGTGGACATTTACTATGCATGTATTATACACTAAAAGTTTTCTGTGAGTTTCACATGCATTATTTTACCCAAATCTTAGAACAGTGCTACAAGACAGGTAGGTACTATTTTATTACAGATGGGAAAGCTGAGGTCAAGAGAGTAAATAACTTGCAGAGATTCACAATTGGTAGTTGCTTGGGCCGGGATGAAACCTTGTGCCAGAGCTCACACCCCTCACCACAGTCCTCTTCTTAGGGAATGTGTTGGTGAGGGGGAAAACAGGTCAGATAACAGGGTAAATTGGGGGGAAGGTAAGAAGAGACACATTTTTGCCTTAGGCAAGAATTTCTAGAACAGAAGCAGTTATCAGATAGGAATCTGAGCCGCAACAAAATTAGTAAATATGGGAAGCAGAAGGGGTTTCTAATGAAAACTAGGATCTGATGTTTAAGTGGACTGTGTAGAGAGGTTTTGGAGATGGCAAAACAAGAATGTGTGAGCATGAAAAGATAAGCTCATGAGAAACAAAATAACCCCAAGCAAATTTGGTGAAAGGAAAAGCAGACTCAACTGAATAGAAGGACCAGTAAAATTTGGGAACTTTAGGATCATATTCCTTGACTTTTCGTTGTCTGGATATGCTCTGAATGACAACATTGCTTCCTTCTGGAGGCTGGTGTCTGGGGTTCAGGTTTTTTGCTTTTTTTTTTTTTTAACCTTTTTTTTTTTTTTAAATATTGATGTGGAAACTTTTTTTTTTTTTTAAAGATTTATTTATTTGTACATACAGAACTGGGGTACAGGCCAGAGATGTGGAGAGTGAGAGGATTCACCAGAGACAGAGTGGGGTACAGAACAGGCAGCACTGCTGAGGGGAGCAGTGGGCGGGCCAGGAGAGGTCTGCCACGCCATGTGGTCACCTCCGGGGCAGGCGGGAATCGCACTCATGCGGAAGTGGCCTTAGTCTCTCAGTGCTGTGCTTTAACCCGCTGCGCCACCAGGGAGGGCCTTTTTTAACCTTTTTTAAGAGCTATTTTTACATACAGAACTGGGGTACAATCCCAAGGTGCAGCACATAGGATTCACCAGAGACAAAGTGGGGTGCAGAACAGGCAGACTGACAAAGTACACTGCTGAGGGGAGCAGTGGGTGAGACAGGAGGTCTGTGCCATGTGGGCCACCACCTTGACCGGGGATCGAATTTATGCTGAAGCTGCTGTGGCTAGCTTAGCAGTGATGTGCCTTAACCCATTGAGGCATCAGGGAAGGGCCTTGTCTGGGGTTTCATATTTTTGTTTTTAATATGACAGCATTCAACTACTGGGTATTTGCACTAATTAGTTTTCTTAATTGGAAAGAGGTGCTTATTTGTCTTTAGGAGTGGTCTATCCCTGAAAAATACTCTTTCCATGAATTATCTTTGTCCATAGGTGAGCATTTAGTACATATTTTTAAGTGTTAAGTACCATGTTTTCAAGTACTCAGAACTCATTCTTTACAGTATGTGTTCTATGTTTAAATTTGAACAGGAATATGGCTTTTCATGAGTACTATTTATACCATATTGTTGCAGGCTTATCCTTACCACCTCCCAAACATCCAGCTTTGAGGAATAATTGTTAAGAATTGTGGAGCAATTTTTAAAATTCAAATGTATGTCATTTTATCATCATGATAGTATAACTTATTTTAACTAATGTATTTATCTCTTTCCCACCTATCATTCTATTTCGTTATCTTTTCTGATTTTCTCAATCCTGAGAAAAGGATCTTATACTATGGGAAAGTATACAAATGTCTAATAGAGTTCATGTAAAAATACCGGAAGATTTTTTTAAATTTCTATTTTGTTTTGAAGGCATGAATCAGCAAACTCACTTAGAAAGCAAAGGGGAAAAACCATAAAGAAAAGACCTAGAAATGAAAAGATAAATAGAAATAATAAAAACTACAATGTATAGGACTTCAACAAACTGGTTACCAAAATTTTTGCTAGTTTTGTAAGTATTTTAAAAAGGCATGTGTAAAATTATGAAGTCTTATTCTAAGTTTTTTTTTTTCCTTGAGGACTCTATATTCTATCATTGAAAACAAAGATATTTTTGAAAAGTGGAGCTTTGGAGCTCTAAGTCACTTGGTGGAGGGGCTGAGATGTGAAGCTCAGAGTGCTGTGGCAACTCTACTTGCCACTTATGCTTTGCCCTTTCTCTGATGGAAAGGGAGTGGCTCAGGCATGCTCTATACTCATGGGACCTCTTCAGTGTATAAATCCAGTTTGGAACTGTGCATACTAAATAAAACCAAATTTGAAGTAAAGGATCCTAGTAAGCATGAAATGCTAATTAAGTGTGTTTAATCAATTACTAGGTATTAATAACCATCATTGTAGGCCATAGTCCTGGCCTTACTGTCTACCATTAAAGGACTAGGCAGGAATTGACATCGCCCACATGTATCTGTGTGGAAAGAGTGGCCAGACCTTTAGCAATGTTATGACTGCTAGAAAAACAATGACCAGCTCAGCATACACTCAAAATGTTTTCCCAAAAACACTTGGTAGAGACACTTGGTAGAAACTGAAAAATACAATGAAATAGAATTCTTAGGTTGGCGCAGCATATATATTTATACATTCTTCTGTATTTAGCTCAGTAGTTCAAGATCACTTCCTGGAACGGCTGCAGGACACAAATGGCTTCAATTTGAGCTTGTACAGTTCATCCAGTTGGTCCCTGGGACAAAGTTCACTGCCCTGGGGGTGGCTTGGCTCAGTCTTTAAAACACATACTAATGAATTTCAGGCTTGGGACAGGAAAAGGCTGCTCCATACTGGATAATCACGTGAACTGGGAATTATTTCCCATGGATGTCTTAAATAGCTGTGTGATGTCACTCTGGATAGTGGGCTCCTATGCTGTTTCCAGCCACAGATGACTGAGTACCCTTGCTCAGGGCACTCAGTGCTCGCCTCCTTCTAAAACATAGATTTGACATATTTCTTCATTTTCATGAAGGGAACATGGTGGGAGGGAAGAAGGTAAAGACCATCTGAGTACAACTGGATGTGTTGAAGGACACTTAAAACATTTGAAGACAACCTAAAAAGATTAATTTGGGCTGAGTATATTTTCTTTTCCCTTTTGGCTATTTGAAATAAGAAAATTCAAAAGAAAGTTGTGTTTCATTCCTTTCTTTGTTGCTCCACTCCATCTAGCCATCACTGAGGAAGTTTATCTCCCTGATGTACCCACCCAAAAAGGAAGTGAAGTAGTTGAATATGGAAACTCATTTTATGTATCAATAGATGGGGGAAACTAAGCTAATGAAGTCATACTTGCCCCTTAATCTGAGTGGTCACACACTGTATGACACCCGCCCCCAACCTGCACACCTGTGGCATTAGTGCGCCAAAGACTTGTGACCAGCCTAGAAGACAGCAGTAATGCTCTGTGTTCAGAGTGAGTCATAGTTTGTGTTGGGCCAGTAGAGGAGTGGGAGAATTTCCATTGTGGTGTATATGATGCTGTGTTTGTCCCAGGTATGCCACTTATCACCTGTGAAGCTATGTGCCTCCTGCATGGATCTCAGTTGCCTCCTGCCTAGTTTAAGTAGGGTGGATCAGATGATCTCCTAGGCCCTTTCTAGGTTTCACCATCTGGTGCTCAGTTTCTTCTGCATATGAGGTTGTGGCATCAATTGCATTGGTCAACTAGAGACAATTTGGGTTGTCCATTAATAAATTCTTCTATCAGACAAAAATGAATGAATAGCAACACCCAAATCCATGAGAGAGTTTGTGTTGAGTGCTGGCAGTGGAAATCTTGGGAGATGAAGTGCTAGGCAGAGGTTGTCAGCTAAGTGTGTCCCATCAGTGCTCACTGGAGATGGAAATCCTGAGAGGTGTGGGATGATCCAGCACAGGCGCTGACAGTCTGGGGTTGCTTCACATTCCTGACCATCTCTAACCCAGATGCCCAAGCCTCACAACCTTTCGTGAGCTACCTTGCAGTTGTAAAATTTTTCTTTGGCTGTTCTTTAAATGAAGATAATACTTTTCAGGGTTAAGAGCTTGAAGATAATAAAAGTGTCTAGCAAATAGAATGAAAAAAATAGTAACTAAAAACAGCAATTCATAAAAACCCCAAATAAAATAACCTTATCTGAAAGTCAATGAGGGGAAAAAAATAAACCCTAATATTCAGTAGTGACATTTTATAGAGTGCTTTAGGATACAGTCTTTTCATCCTTAAATAATGCAGAATACTGCTGAGTTCCCGGGGGCAGAATACCTGGAAATAGTGTAGATTTGCGTCTTCTAGTACCAAACTGTTGTGGCCTTTTTATAACATGCTACTAACATACCGGTACATTTGGTTAGTAGATTTAGTAGTTAAGGTTAGACCTTTAGAGGTTCTAGGAAAGGAAGGAAATGAGCAGAATTGATTATAATACCTATTTAGGGTTGTAGGAGATGGGGGTGGAGGGGCTCTTCATGCCCTTTTTATATGAGTATATCTTTACCAACTGCCAGTCAGTAAAGCCTGATTTTTTTTTTTTTCTTAAGTGATATAGCTCCTCCGTTTGTGGATCCTTAATTCTGAAACAGCTCCTGGGGATAGCTGGAAGATTTAAATATCTCTGGGATGACACTGTCCAGTTTTGAAATAATTTTATAAATGGGTTTCTTCCAGGAAGGATCTGAGTCTTTCCCTGTGGAGACCGCTCTGAAGAACTCCTGTAATGTCAAGCTGGCAATTTCCAAGAAGCATTCAGGGACCTGCATAACCAAAGAGACCCACAAGAAAGAAAAGACGTGAGGCTGTGGAGTTCGTGTGCTGTAGAGACCTCACTGCCTGCTGCTGCCTGTTCCTTGGGTGGGCCAATAAGAGCATCCCTGCTCCTACTGACTCCTAAGAGTCCCCTGCTCCCTCGTCAAACAAAAATTTTGTAATAATAGTACCAATGGAGAAATGGGAGAAATTTAAGGACACTCCTATTGTAGGAGCTGATTCTCTAATGGATAATGTTTTTAGTAAGTAAGTGGGAAATTCAGACTCTGATGGAAATTTATGACAAAAAAAAAAGGTTCTTGATGTTCTTTTGCTTAGTGCTTGATGTGAAAGGAGTGCCCCCAAGCTTACTATTGCTGTGTCTCACCCCACTATTTTTGGGGTTGGAGCTAAAGCCACTTGGAATCATCCCTACTTCCTAAGCCAGCCATGAGGTTGACAGGGAGTCAGAAATATGTTCCAGGACCTCATCCAGACTGACACATTGTGTTGGGACATCCCCCAGATCCTCCAGACCCAGCCTGGCCAGGGCATGCTACCACTGTGTGCCAAATGATCACCTCCTATGGCAAAATGCTGTACTGCTCCTCCCTGGAACCTCAGAAAAGACTCATGATCCATTTTACCTCCCAGTAAACATTCCAAGCATTCTGATGGAGCATCTGAGCAGTGGATGCCAGCAGTTCTTTCCTTTCTTGGAGGTGCAAAAAGCCCCTTTTTATGATCACAATCAAATGATAAAGGCAAGAAGAGGAAAGTATAGTCGATGACCAGACAGACCTGGCACTTATAGAGCTAGATGCCTGCCCAAAAAACTGGCAGCCATGCATGAAGAATTGTGTGTTTTCCCCAAGCACTTGCTCACCCATCACTAATGCTTTACCTCTTAGGTGCCACCAGTGTGCCTTCCTCATGGACAGAGATCCTCATGGATGGAAACACCTGAATATTGTTTACTCATTGTTTCCAGAAAGGATTTTAAGTGACTCACCATGGAAAAGCCCAAAAAATTATTCCAGTGAAAATAAAAAGCCAAAAAAAGTGTTCCAGTGAGAATAAAGAACTGTGATAAAATGAACAGAAAATGTTGTAAAGAGAATGTAGTCCAGGTGCTACAGCAGGGCCTAGCATTTATTCCTGGGCCTCCTAGTGCAAAAGCAAAAAGGTTATTAAGTGAAGTAACTTGAACACTAAAGAGTATTAAGCCTGAAAATATCATAGCATTTGCAGACTCTGCTTAAGTTTCAGAATGAAGACTGGGTGGGTATCTGTTTGCAGCGTCCAGGTACCCATTGCCTGAGAAGATCTGGAGACTGATCTTTACAGAATAACAGAGAGATTGCCCCCAGGTAGCCCTGGCTCTCAGTGTTGTAAAGACACAGAGGGGCAACTGTTCTAAAACGGATCAAAAAGGGCTGGTACTCAGAGGACTTCAGGGGACCAAGTTCATTTCTTACCTCAAAGTCATTTCCCTTGTTATAATGCATATTGAGAGCTCGAAACAGTTCTGAGTTACGGAGAACCACCAGCGTTTTGGGATTTGTGACACCATCTGAAATTGCTTGCCGGGCATATTTCTCCATTTGGATGTAATAAAATTCACGAAAGTTGCTGAACCACTTGATCATCTGGGAGGTAATGCAGCGATTGAACTGTACAAACAACGGAGTCCATCAAGTCATGTTTGCCTTAAGGTGCTCAGAGACAGAATTATCAGTTCTGGTTCAACAAAGAGGTTAATAAGAATGTTTCCACCAACTTTAAAAGAAGCCACAGCTACTATATGCAGAAAAATTTGAATTGTTACAATGTCCTATAGAAAATAATGCTATACTAGGTTTTAAAAGATTTTTCACCCATGAAAACCTTTTCACAGTGTGTATAAGTGTGACTTTGTAGTGGGCTAAGGGTCAAGTCCGACTTAGCACACAGGTGGATTGCATGGCAGCTCCTGTCAGATAAAAAGCCAAGGGAGGGTGTGGGTGAGGGTGTAGATCAGGGAATTGCAAAATGAATAGAAATCAGAGCTTGATGCAGGCATCAACCAAGCAACAGTATGAGGAAAAGATCTGACCAAAAAAAAAGCAAAGAAATGATAATGATACAAAGTATTCAGAGCCCTACCCAACACCAAAAATCATTATAGAATCAGGCCTGGTCTGGTTCTAACCATCAGAGTTGATTTTCCTCACCAGACATGATCTGTATGCACCTTCACTCAATTTTGAAACAGCAGTTTGAATGTAAATTTGATACCTCCAACTATTAATATTCTTTCTTTTCATAGGGCCTCTAACAAAGACAGAAACAACCAAAATGCCATTTATGAGGTTTTTTCTCTCCCCCTTCCATCCTTTCCCACATGTTAGATTTAGATAGATTTTAGATAGATGTTAGATGTTAGATTTATGTTCAAAAACTAAAAATTCAGATACCTAAGCTTCCTAGCCCAAAGTTATTCATGACTAGGGCAGAGGCCCAGCCCAGAACTGGACACTGTACTGATTCCATCCACAACTTGAAAGGGATCTAAAGTACACAAACGAGGCCTCAATGGCTCAAGCCCACATGGGAGTTTTGCAGAAATTGACACTGAGTTGAATGACTTTACCTGAACATCAGGGAAATAGGTCTTCAGGAGATTGGAGCTGGGGTAGCGTGTGAAAAAAAACATTAGTTTGGCCTTCTTCAAGTGACCAGGATTTAGGGCCTCCTGGATTTGTCCTGGAGTCAAGGAAAATGCACACCGGTTTATCAGATTTATCAGATTATCCAAGTAGAGAGTTTCCCTGTTTCTTCTGCTTTCTCTTTCTGTATTTTTCTGGTTGAATGGAGTGTGTGTTTCATTTTTTTTCTGTCTCTGGCAAGTCATAAGATAACTCTTTTCTTTCCAGATGGTGAAAACCATAAATGTTCTGTAAAGTCGTAATTTAAAAAAGCACTGGATTGCAAAAATTGTATGACACACATGATATTAAGTAATGTGTGGTGGTGGTTTAAATAGGAAAGGAAGAGATAAACCTTTTCAGAAACGCAAGTAGAGATTTACTTCTCTCTGCTGCAGTTTCCTCATCTGTAAAATGAGAGTTGATGGCATGGTCTGTCCTGGCCCTCAGGATTGCCTTTATGGTGTTTAGGCCAAAGGTGTCTGCAGCCGGCTGGACGCTCCAGCTCTGCTTTGGCTCCAGCAGCTGCTTGGACCTCAGGCTGCATCTGCTCTCCATCTACCTGGCAGAACTTTCCCTCATCCTTCCTTCTCAGCTCAGACATGCTCCCTCTGTGAATCTTTTCCTTAAGAACGAGGCCTCCCTAAACCTAGGCGAGCCACTCTTTGTACAACTCTCTGTTATAGCTGTGACTTTATTGTAATTTTTGTCTCCCCACCCAGACTGTGAGTTCCCTGAATGCAAAAACCTTCCTTATCTTTTCATCTTTTGTTCCACATGCCTAGCCCAATGCTAAGAACATACTAGGTGCCCAATAAATGTCGGATGAAGGAATGAATGAGTGGTTAAATGGTCAATCTTAATCCATATACAAATAAGAAAATTGTATTTCAACCCATTTCCCCTTACTCTGTATAGATTACTTCCCCTTTAATAAGGGTAGGGCCCGTGGAAGTATTGGTACCAGTATTGGAGGGAAATAGATTCTTATACATGAACACTGATCCCTGTGTTCTCAGGGATGATCCAGGGCTGGGTGAGAAGCATTACACACTGTAATCTTGGGTGGGGTCTCAGGTCTGAGAGCTTGAGGACAATGAAGCTCTCTGCTCACTCCACAGGGCAGTACCACACACACAGTAGGTGCCTGAAATATCAGCCTTCTCCTGAGAGAAGTAAGAGAGTGAATCTTGGGGACTGAATTTTGGTGGATCTTCCACAATGCCTTGTCTTGAATGGGTTTTCTTAATTAGTAGTCTCTTGGCAAAGGTCAGACAGGTAGCCTTTCTCACACAGAAAGCCTGTCTATACTGATAACTGTATGTCTCCAAGAAGTTTCCTTACTGCCTACAGAAGCAGCGGTGGCCGGTGAGGTGCTGTTAGTGCTGACTGCCTAACCACCTAGCAACTCCCCGGCTTTGGGGTGAGTGCCAACATCTGTGACCAGAAGGTGGCGCTCACAGCAAGGACACAAACTGGCCCCAGTGTGGCAGTGAGCAGGCTCCACTCGTCCAGCTGGCCTGTAACTACAGCTTGCTGGAAGAGGACACAACTCTTCACACGTAGATATGAGACTCCACTGATACCCTGAGCTCTGGATACAAGGCTGCCCTTGAGAAGTAGAAGTGTGGGCCCAGTACCCCCAAAATGCAGCACTTAAAGTATATTCTTGGGAACTTTAGTCCTACAAGATGCTTGCTGATTGATAGAGGGTTATTTGGTCATTAGTTTGAAGTGTGCTCAGAGCACACCGTAGAGGTTGCATGTTTTAGAGCTTCACATCAGGCTTCAGCATACTGAGAAGTCCTGCAGTAAAGCAACTCCCCCAGCAACTTCCTTCTGAGGTCTGCCTAAGGTTGCAAAGATGCTGCGATCAGATCCAGATCCCTGCAGACCAGCCCGAGGCCTTCAGCCTTCCCCAAGGGGACTTCTCCTCACCCATTATAAGCCCCCATGTTCTTGTCCTCTCAGCTACACCTTCCTCTACCATTAGGGTTTGGTCTCTGTGGAAAACTTCCCCCATCTACCCCAGAATTTCTGGTCTCTCATAGCTTCCTCATGAATTAGACAGTGCTTGCTTTTTACCAGGACAGCCAAGAGGGTGGGGGAGTCTGATATTTGATAATACCCTTGACCCTCTCTGCCAACGTGTATGGGGAACTGATAACCAAATTATGGGGTTCTTCCTTCCCTGGGGGACTTAATATACTTTGGAAGCCCATCTTTGTTCAAAAGCAAGCTGATCTAAAGGAATAGACAGTAGTGGGAGAATCTGATGCATTACAGAAGAACCATCACATCCTTAAATCCTGGAATGTGGTTACTATTCTCTCAGGAACAACTGTGAGCCCCAGGAAAGGAAGGTCCAGAAGCAAGATGAAGACCATCAGGACAATAGCTATTCCCTGTACCAGGTAAGTTACCTGTGCCCAACCTCTACCCCCATCTTCCAGAATTCCTATTTCTCTGGGCTGTGACTCAGAACTACAATTCCATAAAGGATATGTGGACAGAAGAAAAAGGCAGTACATCAGTGACCCCCTGCCGGTCACCCCGTTCCATCTTCACAGAGGGAAGAAGGGGCCGTCTCTCTAGACGGGAACAAGTGAAGGGCAAGGGGCACTGCTGCTGGTTCAAAACTGAGGGCCGCAGCTTGACAGCTCCCCGAAGTCGAAGGGCTGGGTCTGAGCAGGAGTGGCCTTGGGAAGATGAGTCCTGGGGAAGACTGCTGTTCCAGTGGCCGCTAGGCCCATGACCCAGGAGCTGGCTAAGCTGATTTTCCTGGATGTGGGAAGGCATAGTCAAGGGATAGTTTGCTGGGGGACCCTGATAGGATTTGGGGGTCACTCCCGAAGAGATCAGGTGCCTAGGAGACTCCAGAGATGTGGCCAGTGAGAAGTTTCCCAGTGGACCCCCAGCCTGGGACTGGGCGCTCCTGGGAAAAGTGGCTGAAGGAAGTGGATCTTCAAGGCCACCTCCCTTGGGAGGTGAGGGCACACTTCTACCCTCTGAAACCAGCCCCTGGGAGCTTCTGCCCAGGTGAGCCAGGTGGCCTGGTGGACCCAGTAGTACCTTTTGTAATACTGAGTCTACAGCCTGGGACATTGCCCCAGTCAGCTCTGTCCTCAGAATGTCCAGCAAAGCCCGTGTTTCAGAAGGAAGGAAACTGGGCCCCTCAGACCGGTGTTCTGCCTCCAATACTACGTGTTCCCCTGACCTGGGGAAGTTCCCCCTTGAACGCTGAGGGTCATCACTGTCCATAACCCAGGGCCTAGACCCACAGCCGTTCCTTTGCTTTATATTGAGTGGCCGCTTCCCCTTCTCAGGCCCTCCCAGGCCTTGAGTTGCGTCCCTGGGCTCAGCAGCCTGCAGGATGTGCTCTTGCAGATGTCTTAGCTGTTGCTTTAGGAGATGAAGCTGTTCTCTCACCCGAAAGCTCCCCTTCCTGCTGCTCTGGTCCCCAGCAGGAACGGGCTGCAGGCGGCCTTGCTGCATGGGAAGGCTCTGCTTCCTCTTCCGCTCTGGGGCCTTCTCTGGGCAGTAGGGGCTGTCCCTGACTCGGGCGTTGCCTGGCACCAGAAGGTTAGGGGACAGGCACATGCCTCGGATGATGGTCTCCACTCTGGCCCTCTTTGCCTGGGTGTGCTCATCCCAAAACCAGTCGGGGTCAGTGAGGCTTGAGCTGGGGATCTGGCTCCAGGGAAAGGGGGAGTCTTGGGGTGATGAGCTTCTCTCACTCTCCATGCAGGGTTCTTCCAGATGGGAACAGACTTGGGATGGAGGAGAAAGCAAGCCAGAATCTGGGTCCATCACCTGGCTCCTCGGTCACTTGCTCAGAGGCTATGAGGTTAGTGGAGCTCGTTGGAGCGATTCCTCCTCCTAATGTCCTCAGCTGAAGGTGCTCCCAGAGGGTCTTAAAGGAGTGAAAGCAGCTGCATCTGCAGAGTAAAGATGCAGATTCTGGGAAGTCAGGGCTTATGAACCCCTCAGGCAGACCCTGAAATCAGAGACAGAAGAGTGCATATGACTTTAAGCTCTGCAAACTTCAATGTGCATAAGAATCATGCACATTCTTATAAAAATGCAGGTTTAGGGGATCTTATAAAAATGCATCCTGGATTTAGCAAGTCTGAATGGGGGACACAGTCTCTCACCAACCCCTAGGTGCTGCACTGCTGGCTGCTGGCTGGAGACCACACTTGAATGAGGTTCCCATGAGTGAGCCTTCAGGGAGAAAGTCCTCCTTCCAGGGCAAACCCATTATTCTCCAAACACTTCTCTGAGAGTTGTTGTTCCTGTTTGACAGATACGGAAACTCAGAGAAGCAGCTACCACCACCAGGTGGTCATGTAGCTGGAGTCAAGCAAGATCTGTCTGGAATCAAAAAGTTTTGTCTGATGAAGAGTACCCTTTCTTAGTGACTGCTAAGGAATCACAGGAGGCACTTATTAAAAGGAGTAAATCCAGTGAGCATTGCTGGCTTGCTAAATCAGAATCCCTCAGTGCTGGGGCACGTGCTGCATTTGAAAATTTTTTGAGAACCAACCTTTGCTCTTTGACCACAACATGTTCTGTTCTTGGAAGAATCAGATTATCTTACAACATTTATCAACTTGTTTATTCACCTACTAGAGTCTGGGCCTTCCTGTGGATGCCTGGAGATTAAGTGGTGAGTCCTGCTATTGTGGAACTGGCTGGCAAGGAAAGAAAAATAAAGATTTT